GCCACGGATATGAACCCGTGTGTATAACTGGGATATTCAATATACCCAAACAATAACTATCTTATTGCACGGTGTCTAACATAACAATCCCGTGCAATAACCAAATGAAAAAAAGCACGGGTTGTCATATAAGGGCTATAATTGATTTATTTTTGTAAAAGGTTTATTTTTATTCAATAAAAATTTACATTAAATAAAAAAGCAGTCATTATCTGTATGTACACGGGTATGTTGATATCTTAAAATTCTAGTTATAAAACAACTTTTAGGATTTTGACAGAAAATATTCCTTGCAAAATTTTAGTATAACCCAAACTATTCCTAATTCTAAAACTAACTATACCCTAACTTTAAACCAGGTTAATTTTTGTCATATAATTAATATCTTACACAAATTCATAAATAAATAAATTAGTATCCGTGTATAAACACTATGTAAACTAATAAATATTCTAATAAAAAATCTAAATCGACTTCAATAATGACAATTCAGTTCAGTAACAATATTAAAGCTGTTTTCACCTGCATCAATAACATTAATTAGTACAATATATCTATTGAACAAAAAAAACTATAAAAACACTGCATACTGCCCTTAGCTTTAACCTTTAATTTGACCTAATCAAACTCTTTCAATTGAATTTTACTAAAATTAATTTAAACCAAAAATTCTTAAATCATATTACTGTTATAAAATGGAATTTTTAGAAAATTTGGAGCATTTTCTTGATACATACGATCTTACTCTTTCTGAATTAGACTCTGAAGAATTGGATGAAAGTTCTCAATTAGACAAATCAAGCGATGAAGATATTATAGACGAGGAGCCTAAGAATATTATGAGAATTTCTGAAACGGATGTAAATGATCTTATTAAAAAACTTCAAGAATGCTGTTTATGTGAAACAAAATATAGTGAGAAGATTTTATCAGATTTTCTAAAATCTTTAGTATTAGAAAGTCTTCAAATGAATAAAAAACAGCATTGTTATTCGATGTTAATACTTATTTCTTCCTTCAACCCTAAATTATACCCTAACCAACAAATAAAAAAATACCTATTACTTTACTTTGATGACGCTTGTTTACCTTTTTTTTGAACATTTTGGAGATTTGGTTATGATGCCTTTTGTTATCTAAGTAATTGGATTAAAGAACATAAATCAATATTCCACAACCCTATGGAAATGTTGGTCGGATGCCTAAAAATATCTTACTTGATGAAACTATTAATGTGGAAAACTTTTTATTAAATCTCTTGGAGAGCAGCAAGGTGAAGCATTGGCTGTTAGAAAATATACTCGAAAAAGAAGTGAAGGAAAAATAAATGTTAGTTATGAAAAAATGATGTTGTACTTCTTCCATCTCACTATTCTTACGATCATCTTCATGCCGCTTACAATTCAAAACATTCTGAAAAGCTCATTAAAAGTTGTATAACATTTTAAAAAATATAGAAAAAGGATACTGAGCTTAATAAGATATTAATTAGAAAACCGTTCAAGGATGTTTGTGATAAATGTATTCTATATAAATTTGCGTTAAAAGAAAGTGTTAATAATACAGATAAAAATCTTGATACACAATTTACAACGCATATTTCAGATTATTGGAAAATGAGAAATATGTATAAAGATGATATAAAAAAAGCAAAAACCTGTGATCGTTCTTCATTTCGTGTTTTTTTATTCAACTTTGCTCAGAACATGGAATTGCCTCATAATCTTCAACAACCCAGAAGTTGGTATTTTCGATTGTTTTTTTTTTTTTTTTTTTTTTAAGGTGAAGTTTTGCCTTTATCTTTATTAATAATTTGTGTTGAAAATCCACTAGGGGTTTCTCTGGTCTATAAGACCAATAATTA